TCAGCACTTGGATATTCGTGTATTTTCAAAAAGGTTTTACTTTGAAACTTTGGCAAAACACCCAGTTCACGACAGCGATTTTGTTCGGCTTTATATTCACCGCCTAGCGCGGTGAATATAACGTCATAGTCCGAGATAGCTAACCAATCAGATTGCTTGAATTACCAAGATCACTGAGTGTGTATATACTAAGATGCTTTAAAAGTTTTGATGTTATTGTTTATTGTATTTCGCCCAGGTAACTGGATAGTGGCCGGGAGACGATTTTCATGGGCCTCTCGGTCACGGGTATGTGTTCCTCTCCCCTCGCGTGTCTCCCTCGCACGCCCCGTTCTTTCCTGCCCCCTACTCTACTCCACTCTTACTTCGGCTTGACCCTTTTGTAATCGTCACGACATCTTCCCGCACAAACGCATGTGTCTGCAAAGAATTTGCCTTCCTGTCAATCATATTATTGACATATTTGTTTTTGCGTTGGGTTTTTGCAGACTGATCTACACTACGTGTTATAGTTGGGCATCATCTCGTTAAGCTATAAGGAAAATGTATTTTGGCAAACAGTTTTGGCAAAGTCTGGCGTGTTTTGTCATCGGAGGGATAATCACAGTTATATTTATAAAAATATTGGAGTGGCAAAGAGATCACAGTAATGAAGAGCTGGGGGACAAACGAATACTCGTTCCTGTACAAGAAGTCGGTGACGGGGAAAGAGAAGAGCCAATGGAAATTAGAAGGTTTCCTCGAGAACAAGACGACTTTTAAGGTACTGATGAGAAGTATCATCAATTTGTATTTCATTTTTTAATTTTATTTTTTCTGAAAAAAGGTGTTGTGCATTGTGTCTAACTGATCAGTTCAAACTTCCATGTCCGTATGCAAATTTTGTTTAGCTGATTCGTTTGGTGGAACGATTTTTAGGATGCTATCGGTGCATATACACTGAATATAATTAGATGTAAATTTTTATGCAGATTTATAGATCTGCTAGACCGCAAAACAGTCGTTTTTTTTTTCTCAAAATCAGTAAAGAAATCGGGCGGCGGTGTGAGGCGAGAGCAGGAGACAGAGAGACACTCTTGCTCTCTGTTTTCACCCTCGTTCCAGACCTTTTGTTTGACTGCTCGCGCGTACTTGAATACGCAAAAATACGGACTGTTTTGCAGTCTATAGATCTGCTGACCGCAGCTTTCCCTTTGATAATCATAACTTTAAGGCACATAAAATAACATAATAACATAATAAAATCATAACGTTTCAGTACAATATCATCAGAATTGACTCTCAGCACTTACGCGCGCGAACTTGCTGTTTACCCAACAGCTGTCACGGGAGCCATTCTGACCAAGGACAACCAACAACCATTTTGACAAGCATGCAAGTAAACATAGTCATGGAACCGATGAAGTCAATAGAGCGTCAACCAGACCAGGCCTCAGTTGCGCTGAACGTAGTGGTGCATTTGTGTCATAAAATAGTTTAGATACTACGCTAAAAAATGCTACTGTCAGTAGTGAAAATGTAAAAAACAGTGCTTTCTTGATTTAATAAAGTTGCTGATCATTTACTCGGTTTTACGCGTTGGCTCAGTTTTGGGTGACTTTCTTCGGCCTTTGTCTATCGGAGCCATCCTATGCAACATGGTTACGTGCAATCAAAACACCCAAACGCCAAGTTTGGACTTCGAGGCCACTAAAGGAGAGCACATGGTCAAAGTCTTGGGGCAAAACTGACGTTAGGATGTGACTTTGGGAACTATGTTGTTTCAAATAGAAGTAAGCTCTTTTAGTGAACAGGTCTAGTCTTTCTAGTGGCTGACAGGGGGAACAGAAGTCGAGAAAAAGCCAGTTGTAGACTGAGCCCCCTTCCTCGTTTCCTCGCACGCTTGAGCATGCTGAAAAAGACGAAAGCGACTTTCCTGATCGTGCACGAATGACCCGATGTGATGTAATGGTTAGCGCCTAATAAGGAAGTCTGATAAGGGGAATCCCCTAATTTGGGGCTCAACAGTTCTTTTGTTGAAATGGGTAGTACGCAAATATAAACACTACTCTAGCAGACACTGTTTGAATTCTCTTCAAGATTAGCATCGCTTTCTCTCGGGACGACTGTTCCACCCAGGAGAAATTGAAATCAATTTTTGTTTGTGGGGGGGGGGGGGGGGAAAAAAAAA